AGTAGTCCAGTCGCCTGTAGATAAAAAAATGTTTAATTTAATCAATGCTGTAAGATTTATGTATATATATATATATATATATATATATATATAAAACATAGTTTTATTTATAATAGTTTCAAATTAAATGGTCATATATATATATATATATATAATGAAATAAATATACAAATATAAAAAGATAAGCCCTAAATTTATATTAATTTTTAAAAACAGAAATGCATGTCTTTCTCTCTGGAATTTGTAAGTTATACAGTATAAAAGTTTGCTTATTACTGTTTGTCTTCTTCCAATGACGATAATCTTTCTTCATACATTTCAGCAAACTTACTGTCTGTATTCTTAATAGCTGCCAACAAAGAATTTTTCTCATATTGTGACCAATTACTACTCCACTCTCTGAAAAGTTTGACCCGACACTGAAACAAACTCGGTGGTCTGTCGGATTCACAATTTAACTTCTCCATTCCAGTCACCAATCCATTCACAAGTCCTGCAGGTCCGCAATTCTCCAGCAACACGCTCAGAAAATCATTCCGCTGCATCTCGGACCATTCTTGAAACCATTCTATCATGTAACGCAGTTGAACCTCGTTTGACAACATAGTAGACATGTTTTCGCTTAAAAACAAAAATTTCAAGTCAGCCATTGTATGTATGTTGTCAAACGAAATATAAAATTAGTTATAAATACATTTTTATTAATTTTGAAGATCAAGAAAAAAATGTATAAAATATTTTGACAAAAATTTGAAAACAGTTTTTAGGGTAACTATATTTATAAAATGCCGGTAAAAATTTAGTAATAACTATCAATTGATTATATTTGCACAAATATTTTGTATAATAAAAAATGTACAACTGTCATTACAAACATATATATTTTAGGTTACCTTATACGCATTTGTTATTTAATTAAAAACAGAAATTTAATATAAAAAAATAATACAAAAAATGAACGAATGACAAAATAAAGTATCTGAACACTTATTATACTCAATTCCTTTAATAAAAAGTAACTTACAAATAGCTTGCAAGGTAATTTCTCAACCGTGATATATATATATGTATGTATGTATATACATACATACTTATATATCATATATATATATATACACACACGTGAGAAGTATACTACAAATTATATATAAATATAATTTTATAAATCATACAAAACATTATATTTCATTGCATTTCTAGGTACATCACTAAACACGACTGACAATTTTCTAATTTTTGTTTACTTACATCACGTCTCTATAACCAGATGAATCAAATTGATAACAGTATTTAAGCCAAAGAATTATTCTTATTGCCGTAAGAATAGAACCAGTACGTAATATCGAAAAAAAAAGGATCGCGCGAATACTCCCGTTAGGTTAGGAATGCCATTCTCGATAGAAACATAGCTAGATGATCTGAGAAATATATAGCCCGAACAAAAAAGGAAAAATAATCGAATTGATGTGCGCAACGGCAAATTACCAAGTAGAGTTCGTGAATCTTGGTCAGGCTGTTCGTACCGCCACGTCTGTCGTCACTTAACAGTTAACGGCTATTGTTCTCACTCAGGAAGCGCGACGCGTGTTATCACGTTCTAGCCATTTGTCATTATGGGTACAGCGAATTTGATAAAAAATGAATTCCGCACTTCGGAATCGTGCAGTTGGAACTGGAGGTGAAAACGTATTTATAAAACGACACTCGTACACTCTATTGAAGCATTAATAGTGTAATATTTATTAATTAACTACACAACTTAAGACGACAATTTGCATTTTTTGGGGTTAGCCCGCATGTCATCTTCCTCCTTTTCCTTCTCTTCTTCGGCGGAGTCCGAGTCAATGTCATCCGAAGAGCTCGATTGATTTGTCATTTCTGCCAAATTGCAAAAATCGAACTGTATATAAATTACACAAGAGGCAAAAATTATTTACAACCATTACGCGTACGTACAATCGAGCTATTAAACGTATGTATGCACTTACCGCTGGACACATCTCGCCGTTGAATGAGCGTGGTTAAAAAACTGTTGATCTCTGACTGCGTATCTCGCAGATTTTGCATCAATGCTTTCAGGTCGTCCCCATCAGACCGGACAGTCTCGTGGATGCACTTTTCCTCGTCATATATTTTTACTCGTACGCCAGTAATGCTCATTGCGTTCCTACGAAATGTTTGAATTTGAATTTCACGTGCATATTATGGTGCCTTCGTGCTGTCACACGCAAGAGCGTGTAATAATCTTATACGAACCGCGCGTGGCGCGGCAAGCGCAGACCAGCGTAGAGTGGCACGGACTTCTGCTGACGAGCATCATCTTTACTTGGTTAACATTTGATAAACAACAAGGATGAAATGATTCCATGAGCGTTGTGAGCGTTACTCCGGATTTACAATAGATTTTTAAGACATATATCATAAGAAATGAATTACAGTCAATTATTCTCCTCGTATTAGACTGTAATTGATCCATTTTTTACGGCTTAAGGCTTAATCCGGATTTAAATGTGGAACACAATCTATTATATTTAAACTGCTAAGGCTGCGTTCTATTAAACGCTCACGAGCATCAGTTTTCCTTGTTTGACATTAGATAAATAACAAGGATGAAATGATTTCACGAGTGCTGTGAGTGTTAAGTGGAACGCAGTCTAAGAACATGGTGGAATTACACAAGATGTTGTATTTCTGAAGATACGCAATAGCAAATAATTTAAATGCAAAATAGTGCATTTTGCTCCCAAATGCATCTGAATGTAACATTTGATAATTTGATTTAATTTTTTCGGGTTTTTATATATTTGAAATATCGTATTAAGTAACTTAAAAAGTATAAATTTAGGGTGTGTTCCGTTTCACGCATGATGTGCATAATGTATCGTTTATTCTTGTTGCTCATCACATGTTAAATAAAGACAATTGGTGCATTATGCACCTATAGGGGATAGCATTTAGGGACAATCGAGAAATTTTTGATTAATTATGTCGCCATATGCGCAAATAATAAAGTTGAAAACACAATAATGAAAAACACAGGCAATGGAAATAGGGAATAAGAGATTTCAATCTTATTTCAAGCTTATTCTTCGAAATTTTCGATATATCTCGATATTTTTTCCTCACCCTATATATGACAGTTCTTAATAACTGTAATCATAAATATAATGATTCAACAAATTTGTAAAGAGACCATTATATATTAGTAAAAAAAGTATTGCATTTATATCATTGCAGATTAAAATCATATATCTATATAGAAACAATATATAATATATTTATATATTAAATTATATGTTTATTTGTAAATCTAAGATTTTATTTTGATAATAAATTATTTCTGCACACGTTTAATATATTGTTATCAATTTCAATTAAAATCTAAAATATAACAATTTTTTAAATAAATTTATGTTTATTTTCATATATTTTTAACCTAAATCTTTATTAGATATGTCACTTTTTATAGCATTAATATTTAAATTAAAAATAAATTTTTAACCTGATAATGTTCTTAATTCACAATATTGCAAGTATACACAAATTTAGTTAAAATATAGAATTTTGCTTTATGCTTTATACAAGGTTGTATTACGTATAAGATTATATAGAAAATATATAAGAAAGTATATAAATATCGGCTAAAATATGCTATTTGTTGATTTTTTTTGTATTTAATATTATATTCTTTATGGACATAATTTTCATTACAATTAACATTACAGTAGACAATGGAGTTCTGCATTATGCTATATTGCTATATTCTATTGTTAATGAGATAAAATTTCATTTCTGATTAAGCATAATGTGATGGAGGTACTATTAAATCTTGTAAGACGGCTAATTGCTCTTCCGTGAAACATTGAGCATGGCCTTTCATTCCTGTCCAACCTTCGTAATGTGTCCGTTTGAAATCATTTAAAGTTTTCCTTATTGTCATCTATAAAATTCACATATTTATTTTAAACAAATTAATTAAAACTCTTATTGATAATCATATAATTAATATAGTTTTACTAATGCATAATTTACTTGTCTTAATTAATTACATGATTTTGTTATATAACTTTGTGACATTATTATTATTATATACGATTAAATTACCGGTATAGGCTGTGGATCATTCATGTGAAGGCCGAGATGTTCGAAGATTGGAGGTACATATTTGGGTACATCGTACGGATGAGCATTAATGAAAGCACACAGTCCAAGAACACCACCATGCCGTATACGTATCGCATCATTTTTGTTTCCCAATGTATCTTGATTGATAGAAGTATTTTTCTTTTGCAACTGAGTCTTTGCTTTTCTCTTGAACTCCCCCTAAAACCACAATTGCAAATATTCAGACGTCAAATTTTCTCAATATTTAAAGTTAGAAAATTATAGACAATCTTTAGAAACTTGCCAGTAATTTTTCTTGATCTGTGATAAATGTGCAATGCAATAATCCACCGAGTACTTGACTAGCCTTCTCTCTGACCTCTAAACGATCATCTTCTAACAAATGCAAAACGATATCTTTAACGCAATTAATCCACAACGTGTTACTAAGAATTGTGCCCATGTTGTGAAAAACCAATACTTGAAGAAATTCCAAGCTAGTGAACCTGGCAGACCACGATGAATGTTCGGATACTTTTTTCACTGCAGTCAACGCTATCGACATATCCTCTGGCAACGTGAATGCCTTGGCAAGTGTTGCCAAAGTACGTAAACATGATTTATTAAGCTCCTCATCCGCTTCAGAGTTTTCTAATTGACATATGATCGGAAATATTTTGTAAAATCCTGGAGACATGATACACTGTGAAGGAGCCAGGCTAATTGTAATCCATTTGCAAACAGTTTTCAACAATCTTACGGGCATCTCCTGTTCTTCTATACTGGATCTCGATGTTTCTTTTGATTCATCGATCGAAACGTTAGCCACCTTTTTTAATAAAGTTTCATTTTTGTCAAGATTGCTTAGTTTGACATCATTATCTTTTTTAAGTTGTTCTAATCTCGGTACAATTTTGTCGATTAAAATCTGCATTCGCGGAGTCACAGTATCAGTTGAATTGTACGGGAATCTCAAATCAGCGTTGAATATAGTGACCAACACTGATCCCAGACGGTCTCGGACATTCTGAAATGGATTTGTCAGCAATCGATTCTCCGAGCGCACCAGCAAACGTTGCAACAGTTCCATTACCCGCCATGATTGTTGAGTTAAAGCGGATTGCAATATGTACAAGCGACCGCATTCCTCGAACGAGTCTTTCAGTGGCGGCTCCTCCATCAAACACTCGAGTAGCCAGTGGTGCCTATTAGGATCCCTATGTTGTTGCATTGTCGCGAAGCATACACCCCAATCTGTAACGGTTTCTTCCGTCAGATTTGCGATCGCGATTCTTATGATGGGTAATAATGCCTGCCACAGGTCAAGTGTCATTTGGAATGGCCAATGTTTGGCGCCTCTGACTATCCCAGCTGCAATCTCCGCAGCGCATCGCTGACTGCTTTCATGCTTGTCCATCACCAGTCGTTGCAAATGTGGCAGAAAATGCTTTAAATGAATGATTCCATGATTGCGAAATACGCCCTTAAATAGAAAACACCTTAAAGCGCTGAATTTATCCTTGCCTTTTTTCTCCTCTAAACTGAAATAATTTATAAGCTTCTCAATGTTTTGCGGATCATTAAAAAAGGAATAGATCTCCCTCTCACAATCCGTCAATTCACGCGTGTCCGGATCAAGACAGGGTTGTTGAGACGAAGGTGCGTATACTTCCAAAACTTTTGGCCAAACGTAATAGCCTATGTATGGTTGGTGAACATATCTAGATTCGTCCCATTGTTTAGCAGTTAATGGACGAGTTTCGTAATTATATTGAAGCCAAGAATTATCAGCTCTTATACCGGGCATATTTCGCGATTTTTCTTCCTTTTTTATATTTTCTTTGGATAAGTTGGATACATCAATCGTTATCTGAAAGAAAATTATGTTTTAATATGTATAATTTAGGGAAAACTCACATTCTCTCTCTCCCCTCCCCCCCCCCTCTCTCTCTCTCTCTGCTTTTTGCCTACAAATTCGTTTATCTACGGGTGTATATTAATTACCTGCATTACTAATTGACTAATTTCAAATAATATAATTTTATTGGTACAACACTTAAAAATTACACGAAGAACCGACCAATGTAAACCGATGTGTGCAATTGAACTGTGTGCAAGTGCGCTGTTGCCTTTATCTACATCATATTTGCCGACAGTTTATTTGCGTACAAAAATTATTTCCTAAAGATTGCCTACATGTACTTTTGCTCACAAATAAAATTTTCAAAGACAAAATTATACGTATTATCGTCTATGTCCACAAACTCTTTTATGCGCAAATATAATAGGTTATTATTTGGAATACGAGTTATGCGTTAAAAATCATATTCTACGATTACGCATTTGAGGTTTTCACGGGTATTTTCTTCAATTATACTAGAAAGTTTGCGGGTTATCGCCGTGTCTTCATTATTGATGCCATATTCTATGACTACATGTGCATGCATTTTATGTATTAAATTGTTGTTCTATTAAATAAACGATTCTACAATATACAAAAATAATAGAGACCAAAAAGTTAATCAGACACTCTTATGCCTACAGAGGTAGTATATTAAAAATATATCTATTAACTCTCTCGTACCTCCGTTGTCTTTCCTAAAAGAGATGCATTTAAGATATGAAGACGGTTTTATAGGTTTTTAGGGGTACTCATTCCAAACTTACGATCAAAATTTAATCAAAATGGTCTAAAATTTAGATCAAAATTTACGCTTTTAATAAGAAACAATTACTTTCTTATAACAAGAAACAATTACTTTTGTTCTTATGCTTTTTTTTGTTTAAGGATATAATCAATATTTGCTATACAAAAATCTTATAAAATTTATGTACCTTCAAATGTTTTCGTTTTTGTTGTTTCAACATAAATGTCACTACTCTGGTAGCAATTTTTCTTTCTTGCAAAGAATCGTGTATAAGAGCTTGCAAAAAATAACGCACTAATTTTGCGGAATAAATTTGATCTGGTTGCACTAAGTCTCGTATGAAAGTCATCGCCATTAATCTGTGTCGCCAATGTAAGGATTCCTCGAGTATACAACGCAAAAGTTTATCGAGCAAATCATTATACGCCGTCAAATTAGATTGATTAAGTTGCTTCAAATTCCGTGCACCTTCTTCTACTTCGTTTTGATCAGGCTGTGGCAAAGTTGGTTGTGG